TCCTGGGAGAGTAGCCTACAATGCCGGTGTTCTGACAAATAATGCTGACTCACAGCCTGTAAGTACGTTTTCATATTTAAATAATTTGCCACTGATTCAAACGCGAGTTTTGAGCAGTGTAGAGTAGCGCTTGTTGTTTGTTGTTTCTCTGATCACAAATGCAGACATGGTTTTATGTTTACGCGGCGCAATGCAACGCAATGCGTAAAAAGTTAGTATAAGTCATTATAATCAGTAATTATGTCCCCACTGGATGCAACAAATGCCTCGTTTATAATGGGTTTTATTAGTTTTGTCTCGTCACGCCGGGACACGGCATCACAGTATGGTAAGGGGCGTAACATTTCCGTCACACGCTTGAGGTATTCGGCCAATCACAATGCACTGGATAGCTGGCCAATCACAGCATACCTCGCTTTTCAGACCGATGAGATTTGTAAAAATCGACGTTTCAGAAAGGCGGGGCATAGAGGAGAAACAATTATGTACAGTATGTGGAAAATAATGTGTTTTTTGAACCTTAAACTGCATAAACATATTTCATTACACCAAATACACAAAATAATGTTATTTTTAGCAACATCATATGACCCCTTTAAAAAAGGCCTTGAGCTTGAGAAAGACACTACTTTTTTTCTTCTACAAAATTGTCTGAATAAAGTAATAATTCTCTCAAACAGTATCAATCTTATAATTGCTTAATTTGAATTTGAGTATCTCATCTCTCTTTAAACCTTGCATTTGTATTGCACGCTTTTAAATTGAGTTATATTTGTTTTCTACAGCATTTCTTACACTGAGGCCATAGACATTCTAAAGAGCAGTTCACAGAACTTTACATTCAGTACTGAGGCAAGTATAGTACAGCATATGTTTGTTTTAAATAGTTACTATTCATAATATAAGAGATACTTTAAGAAATGCACATTAAATAACAATGATGTCCACTAGCATTCAGAAGTTTGGTGTCAGTAAGAAATGACTACTTTTATCCAGCAAGGATGCGTTAATTTGATCAAAAGTGACTGTAAAGACAATGTTACAAAATGTATTTCAAATAAATGTTGTTCATTTGAACTTTTTATCAAAGAATCCTGAAACAAACATCACAGTTTGCATAAAATATTAAGCAGCACAAAATGTTTTCAACCTTGATAAAAGTAAGAAATGTTTTTTGAGCAGATTTGTGAAGGATCATGTGACACTGAAGACTGGAGTAATGATGTTGGAAATTCAGCTTTGCCATAACAGGAATAAACTACATTTTGAAATATATAAAAATAAAAAAGTTATTTTTTATTGTAATAATATTTCAACATATTACTGGCTTTACTGTATTTTTGTTTTAAAAAAAAACAGCCTGGATGAGCACAAGAGAGTCATCAATGCTGCATTAACATTAAAAACCTTACTGACCCAAACTTTTTAATGGTAGTCAGTGTATATTTTAGTTTGAGAAGATCTTTTTTTAATATGATCTGTTCTCACTTTCTTTGACATATGCTTTACATTAGTGGGGCTGTGATCTTCAGACAGAACATGAGAAGTTCCTAGTGAAACATTGTGGAAATGTCCCAGTGTTTGTCATTAACTATCCCTACGAGTTAAAGCCTTTCTATGCCCGAGACAACCAGGACCAGCCCAACCACACTGTAAGAATGAGCTCTTACTATCAGTCTTTTCTACATGTGGTCCTGCCATGAGTTCCACTTAAGGATTTTTCATCAGTCATTTCATCAATCAGTGTGAAATATGTTTATATTATGTTTAAAGCCTTGAGTAAATGATCAAATGTGGTGAAGATGTCATGGCATGTCTTTTTGAATTCAGCATGTCAGTGAGGCCTAATTCTTTTCACATTTAGTCATTCCTGAAGATTTTTTTGGGCAGGCAGCTGCTGTAGACCTCTTGGTGCCTGGAGTGGGGGAGCTTTGTGGTGGATCCCTGAGAGAGGAGAGACTAGAACTTCTGCGTCAACGACTAGCACGGTAAGAATTAGAAAAGAGTCCCTTTTCACATAGTAATAAAAATAATATATGCTGCAATGACATGGATACACTTCTGTTCAAACGTTTGTCGTCAGGAAAGTTTTGAAAGTCTCTTAAGCTCATCAAGACTGCATTTATTTAATCAAAAATGCTGTAAAACAGTAAATAAATAAAAATAACTCTTTAAAATGTATATATATATATATATATATTACTACAGTCTTCAGTGTCACATGATCCTTCAGAAATAATGTTAATGTTGATTTGGTGTTCCAAAACAAACAAAAAAATAATAATTTCTTATTATTATCAATATTGAAAGCCGTTATGCTGCTTAATATTTTTGTGGAAACCGTGATACATTTTTTGCAAGATTCTTTGAGGGGGGGGGGGGGGGGGGCAGAGTTTAGCTCCAACCCCAATTAAACACACCTGAAGCAGTTATTCAAGGTCTTACTAGGCATACTAGGAACTTCCAGGCAAGTTGGCGCTAAACTCTGCAGGACAGTGGCCCTCCAGGACCGAGTTTGGACACCCCTGGTGTAAATAAAACATCAAGTGCTAAAAGTTCCTTTTTATTCGCACTGATTTGTAATGAGAAAAAAAGAAGCTTATTTTAGTATTTGTAGGCTACAATGTATATTCTGTATGTTAGAATGTGAACGTGTTTTTTTCATTATCAAAATTCTGTACACACATACGGCACCAAAAATGGAATGCAATGCTTTCCAAATGTATTACATGTTCACAGATGTATTACTAAGTACTAAACACTTGCATCTCCTGCATGTTTTCCCTCTTTTCACAGGGCTGGTTTGGAGGACACATATGCATGGTAGGTCTCTAAAAACAACTTTTGCAGCCCATCCGCTTTTTTATTCCAGACTTAAGGGGCATTTACACGACAATGTTTTGGGGCCCTGAAAACACAAACTTTTGAAAACAATACCATTATCGTCTCTGTAAACTACAAAAACATGCATTTGTGAAAACAGTGACGTCATGTGCATGCGTATTACATGTTCGCACAGTCGTCTGTACATGAAAAACTTCTGTTTTTATTACATTGTTGTCGTCTGTACATACCCTTAGAGAGCATCTTTGTGATTGACAGGTATCTGCAGCTGAGAGAGTTTGGCTCAGTCCCCCACGGTGGGTTTGGGATGGGCTTTGAGAGGTACCTGCAGTGCATTCTAGGACTCCACAATATTAAAGATGTGATTCCATTTGCAAGGTTCTCACATTCCTGCCTGCTTTGAAACAGTGTTCTAAAATGACAAAAAAACAATTGAATGTGCTTTATTTTTTACTTTTGCCAATACCGTTAGACAGTGGTTCACAAAACCTGTTCCTGGAGCCACCCAACACTGCACATTTGAGTCTCTACTGAGCTGATGATCTGAATCAGGTGTGTTTGATTAGGAAAACTTACAAAATGAGCAACATTGATGAAGTTCTAGAAACAGGTTTTGCATTTTCATGAAACTTATTCATCTTCTCTGTCATAGATAGGAGCAGATATTAGTTAACAGCCTACCTGAGGAAAAAAAAGAACAGAAAACAAAAAGTGGTCATTTGTTTTGATTTTTAAAATTGACCAATATCATCAATCACATTTAACATCATCAAAATAAAGCCATTCTCTTTGATCTTGTGATGCAGAACAGTTGTTTTTGAATTTAATTACTTTTTGTCTGCAAGACTAATGTCCGCTGTTTCATTCTGTGAATATACAATTTAAAGTCTAGAAGTTTTAGTTGAGTAAGTGCACTTTTAACGCATGGTAACTTTTTTTGACTAAACAGTAGATCTCTGTGAAGGCTCTGGCTGGAAGCTCTGCGAAGTAATCAATTCTTAAATTATTTACAAAAGTACATAAATTTGCCTGGCAGACAAAAAAGATGAACAGAGTGGCCGTGAATGGTCTTACACCTAGAACAAAACGCAGAAATTAGCTTATTGTTAAATTCGTTATTAGAACAGGTGACATTTTCAAAATACACCTTAATTATTTTCTTAGTGCCTAATACAAGTCGTGGTGAACAGTCCTGTCCAGATCAAGCCGACGCTCTGGCTTTTGCTGCAGAAGGGAGCAGATCAAATGGCAGCATTCTGTGCAGAAACATGGGAGAGACGTCTGATTATTACTAGGGATGCACCGGTATCGGGCCCGATACTGAGCTCCTGTACTCGTACTCGTTAAAATACGCCAATACACACAGCATGTGATAAGTGCCATATTCAGACAAAGAAACACCGACAACAGACAGCAGAATGGAGTTAAGGATGTCTACTACGAAGTATATGTATGCAATGAATATAATGTTAAACATTCAGTATTAACACCGGTATAGCTGATGTGCGCGAGCTGATAAGCAAAGCACGCTGAGTGGATTGAGCGCGCGGTGGCACAGATGCACGAGCTTGTCGAGTGAATATACCTTTCTCACAGACATTACTGGAAAGTTTGTAGTTTGGTCGGATATGTCAAAAACAAGTAAGTAAAACATTACACAAGTTACTTAATGGTAGGGAGGGGGAGAGAGAAAGCGCGCACTTCTGTTGTGTGATCTTTGATGTTTGCTCGCTTAGCACGCATCATTTGGATTAAAACTAAATCGTAAAAATAAGACCATTTATAGGGGCATTCACTATAAACATAATTTATATTTTCAACCTTAGGCATACACGACTTTCTGGCGAAAGTGAATCTAGCAGCCTGTGTGAAATGCGCTAGGCTGTACTGTTCTGCACCAGTACAAATACCTGCACGCGTTGCGCGTGTTTTGCTTGCTTGAGTGTTTCTGCATTATATGAGTGGCTTTGGAATATAAATCACAACACATTTCAGATGAAAAAACGCGACTTCTATTTCTGAAAATATCACAGTTAGGAGATTTATAACGAGTGGTTCCCTGCATTATTACAGCAACGCGCGTGATTACAGTACTAAGCCGCTGCAATGGAGCAGCTCTAATGCTATTAAATTAAAGATGATGTACCACAGAGCAAAAAACAGTGAAAGTAACAAAAACTTGTAAAATACATTTTAATGGGCATAATTAAGTGTGAAAATAACCAAAGGATATACAGTGAAACCAAAAATTATTCAGAGACCAGATATAATTTTTGATATTTTTTTACTAGTGGGTGCAGAATTATAGTTGTGCAGAATCACTATAGTTCATTTATGTAAGTGAGGATAGCAAAATAAAGTAAACTGTGACAAATCATACCCAACAATTCTTCATACAGTGGACTACCAGTAAAATTGATACAAATTTGGGAAAAAACATTGAAGTTGAGGTTTGCATGAAGCTGGGTGACAGCATGCCCAGGAGACTACAGGCTGTCATTAAGGCTAAGGGCTGCCCGACTAAGTATTGATGGTTGTGTTTATTGTTCACTTATTAAGATGTTCTCCTATTAATAAAGTGCAAAGTATAATTGTGATTTGCTCTTGAATTTTGAATTTATTAGAAGAGAAGCTAAAAAGTTTTACAACCATATGGGATAGGAGGGTTCCCGTATAGATACCCATATTTAGGTGTGAATAATAAAGTGACTTTTTCATGTAAAGAGCTCCAGAATATGAATTAAGAGTTCAAACTTCTCATAAAATAGTTGTGCCATTTACCGTCAGTACTTCTCTCGGATGTTTCCGTCTCAGTGCCTTGTCCTTCATCTCACCCTGACCTGGGGTCCGTTCTTCTTACCTCGCTTAATACATATGAGATGATTTGGAAGATGCCAGATCTTCTAATCGTGATAACTGATCTTTGGCTAATTTGGTTCTTCAAACGAATTTGCGGATCTGATTCAAATATCTGGATTAAGTTGTCTTACTGCGAGTTCTCATGTTCCCCCGTAAAGGGCTGATGTATCGATACTCGAAACCACAACGGTCAGTGTATCTTTTGGTCATTTGATTTTTTTATTTAATATTGAAAGTAGAAATGAGAAAACGGCTCCTTTTTTGTTTTTTGTTTTATTTTTTGCGAAAAACAAGAATTCGGCTTAATTTTTCGTTTTTCGTTCAGGGGTAGAAAAATGAATAAACAGCTTGAATATTTGATTTCTACACGTGTAGAACGCCCCTTTCTGCTGATTGGTCAGCCGAAGATCAAACTGTGCCGTCATCAGTTCTTACGCAGTTCCCCGCGGCAGAATAATAGTCCTCTGCTGCTGCAGTTGTAGGGATTCTTAACCTGTTTTATTGCAACTACATTTCATCTTTTTGTCATCAAACAACCAGACTAATGAATGGCTCGACACAATCTGTACCGTGGCAGAGCCTGGGCTTTCTTCTGTGTAGATATAAATGATATGCTTTGCATCAGCTGGGCATGCCAGGGTATGATATGACAGATGTCATAGCCTACTCTGGTCCCCCAGTAAGTTTGTTTGTTTAATTAAGTAATTAATTAATTGGTTTCAAAATAAATATTTTAAACACTAATACAAAAAGGAAAGAATAATGCTTTGATTTGGGTATATAATAGGCCTATAATGTTCACACAAGAACTATCATTCTGACTGACAACAAGAGAACAACAGAGCTATTAAAATGCATACTCTTCTGAGTTTTATAATGAAGTCTTGTTTATTAAAATTAAAAATGATTGATACCTCAAAAGGACATGCACTTGTGCGTGGCGCAAGCTACTGCACACTGGCACACAGGAATGCAACACAAGATCATACCAAATCGTCATATACCCTACAGTATTCCTTCAGAACGTTTGGAATATACACCACGAGATGCATATGATTATTTTACGACAGATTTGCATCCGCTGAAAGAATAAAAAGTGAAAGTCACCATTGTCTGCCATTAAATGGGTAAGTGCAGGACATTTTTTGTGTGTGTGTGTTTCAAAAAAAGAAGGTAGGCCTAATAAGCCTTTAGAACAAGAGTAGTTACCCTAATATAAATTAATATATAAATCGAGCTAGTTCGAGCTAGTATAGTTCTAGCTAAATAAGGGCGTTTCTTCAACTAGGGGCACTTTTAGCCTCGTGAAGTTGAATAAAAAAAAAAACTTGTTCAAAAGTCACATAACACAGTCTCATAAGTTTAAATAATTTGTCTAGTTTTAAGGTCTGTAAGAGGACAAACTTAGATTACAAGAGAAATTGTTAATATTTTACATTTTTTCTGACCTGCAATGAACAAATGTCATTTCCACCACATCTCAATATACAGCTGTTATTTAAAAATAGAATAACTTATGCCACTCAAGAATAGTCTAATATCATTTTTGTAACTAGTTTTACCAGGTTTCCCCACAATGTACAATAATTATACATTTGTCAATGAGATAAATGAATTGCCCTAAGGACCAAATGCTGAACTGTACACCTGTCGCACTATGAAATTTAATATTGGTTTGGGTAAGAGCTTATTAGAAAATAAATACCTTGAATTTTTATATTAAATAGAGCATGATCTCATAAATTGTGGATACATTTTTAATGTGTGATGAGAAAACATTTTTTTTTAAATGTATGTGGTGATGGAAATGATGGTGGTGGTGGAAATGACAATGAATTAACGTGAATGTAGAGAAACAGTAGAGAGATTTATTAGAAAAATCCTTAAACTCATCACACTCAAACTCAATTCACAAAGTCATTAAACATAACCACACCTGTTTTTAGTGCAGTGCTGAGTTTGATGTATAAAACTGATTTGTCTCACAGATGAATGGTTACAGTGCATACTGTAAATAACTGACACAACTGATGGCAAGGCAAATATAAAAGCAATAAATGATGCATCAAAATTTCAACATTGTGAGATAATTATGAGGGTATATAATTGTGAGAGTTTGATACTGAACTGTTCTCATTGGTCTCTTAAATGAACACACATCTTCTGGAAAGAGTAACTGTAAAGAACACCTGAAACTGTATCATTTAAACAGAGCACCTACAATTTTGAGCACCTTGAATGTGTGAGTGTATGTATGTTTGCATATGTGTGAGAGAGAGAGCGTTTGCGCGTGTGTGTGATGTGATTCAAGGCCAAATCTAATTAAGTGTTTCACAGATTTCTTTCCAAACAGACACAATAATTTCCTTGTGACGTTTGGTCACTGGTACAGGCTCAGGGATAAGGCCTATGATATTCTTGGTTTGGTACCAGAATATGTCATCCCCTAGAGGCCAAAAAAAAAAACGATCGAGTCCAACACGGCTCATGGTTTTAACCAGAGCGCCACTGTAGACATCAGTATCCTGTATGATGCAAGGATAAATATCTCCATCATACGTCACAGCACACCACTGACCAATGAGTCCCTGTTCAAGTCCACAATGTGCCGCAGACCTATTTGAGGTGTGTCAGGATGCGCTGTACTGGTTGAGGGGGAAGCTTCGTCCCAATGCCGGAACATGACTGTTTCTGGATTGAAACATTTGCAGTCATGCAGCGTAAAAGCAACTGAGGATTCTCCATGACATTTGGCTTGGGCTAGCAGAGATGATCTGAAAGGAGAGAAAAACTGTTAAGGCATGAACATAGTCACAACAATTATTTGTTTGGAGACGACTGTCAACCATTACCTAATGAATCTTCATTGTGCCACGGATTGTTTGTAGCTCAGACGGCACATGAATGTCCATACACTCAATGTCTTCTGGCTCA